GTATTGTATTTGCCCGACGTTTCGGACTCTCGCTCGAGGCTATTGTCAAGGAATGAAAACGTACAGCTCGTTGCGTGATAAAATCAGCTCTGCCATGGGTGACCTTGTGTTCCCATTGTTCACTCCGCCGCGAGTGAACTTGAGCCCTGACATTGCTCGCGCAACGCGAGATAGGCATCTGGGAGATCGATATGCCAATTGATAGAGTCCGCGTGCGCGTGCCATGCCTCCTGCAAAAGGCGTGAGATTCGGTCGTCCGACGGACCCAGCTCAATTTTGTGCAATATCCCAGCTCATAGTTCGGATTATGGTTGGTTGAATGGAAGAGAAATAAAAGTTGATCAAGTAAGCCGCCTTCACTCTCGTTTATACCCTATGCTGTTATAACTTGGTCGGCCTGAGCCTGACAAATGATGGCCGGTTGAGGATCGTTTTCATCTACTAAAAGCTTCTAGATTTTGGGAAGTCAACACATCGGCATGCAGTCATTCCTCCCTATCTGTATGCAGGAGTGTTGTTGATAAAATCATAACCTACTTAATATGCCCTATAGGACGGTAGTAAGCATTGTCTGTCTGCATCTTTTTGTATTGATCGAAGTAGTCCCTTCGCTTTTCTTTGCAGTTGCTTTGCAGTCAATAGGCTGGTTGATGTGTTACTCGTATATGAACATGCAAGCTTTGATTGGGCGCCTATTTTTCGAGGCGAGCGTGATGCGTGTACAATCAATTGTGAGACCGATGGTTTCGCCAAGCTGTCAGTTGATGCTCAGGGGTAAATTCGTTTTCTGATTTGTCAAATCTATGCGGTATTGTAGGCTTCGCGATGCCACTTTTAGACGGATACCTTTTTATCCAAATAGTAAATCCCCTATCGTGAACAAGTTGAATGGTGCCAGTTTGTGTGGCAAGTGTATTCATGGTTTCCTAAATGTTTTTCAACGAATTCCTATACAATCCTCTAATGAAAGGAACGATTCGTCAAGTATATGTTTTGGTTGCCCGATTGCAATTATCTATGTCCTTTATCTTTGATTCTTGCTTTTTTTGAATCTACCTACAAAGTCTCTCGCGTTAACAATTTAGGGTCCGGTTAAGAGAACATTTGCGTTCAAGTAAACTCCGATATTTCGTTTTAGATAGTTTAGACGAACAACTGCGTAGAGTACTAAGCACTCTATCGTCTTGTGTTCTTGACAGAAACATATTTCCATTAGAAATAGCTGTACAAATATTTTGATCCACAATCTGCTGCTTACCGAGGCTTATAAATTGATAAGCTGAGGAAACTGTCAGTTTTCTTTCCGGTCCCTTATCATTTAAATGACATAATTTAAGGCCGTTAGTTCCTCTCAAGGCATACAAAGCTGGCTCTGGCAGTCAGTATTCGCCGGGCCGAATTCCCCAGTGGGGCATTTAAGCCAAGATAATCCACCGGGGCACCCTCCTGCTAAATATCTGACCTTGTCTATTTAGGTGAAGGTAGCCCTCTTGCTTTGCCGTACGCTCCATGGACCTGAGGGGATTTTATTGTCCCAAAAATGTACTCGGGCTAGACAGCGGTGGTGGCGGCGTGAAACAATCGGAGGCGGTAAATATTTTCGCAGCCAACAAACTTGGAGACCAACTAAATAATGGTGACAGGGTGGCCGTCAAGACTGCGACGAAACAGGTGACAGTGAGGTGCGACGTAGACGCAGCGGCCCAGCCGGTATCAACAGCCGAAGCACACCGACAAGACCCGCATATATACCGAGAGACGTCAGGCTGAATTTCCAGGCTCTGAATATAGGTAGACGGCACACACACACACCCGATACGTCAGACACCTCATAACCTTCTCCCCTTGAAGGTGCCCCCTCTTGCC